ACCCATATCCACGGTGCAACGGCAATCGAGAAACTGTCTTTCACCAATCACACCGAATGTGAATGCATTGAAAGAAAGGATCCCAGAGGCAGTGGAAGTGATGAACCCATGGGTCGTCGGCCCTTGAGATCCCACTACCCTTCTTCCACGGTGCCCCAAAACGCGTTTAATCTGACGCCACCAAAAAAGCCGTAAGTTCATAAATTTTACTTCACTCTGTCCACTTATTTCTTCTACCCCTCCAACCTTTTCTTTTACTTATACCTCTTTTTGCACATTCGCATCCTTTTGGACGTATTTTGAGATATTTGTTGAATAAACGCCTTACCTTGAACCTTCAAAAGTTTGATTTCTCTTTTTTATACTCATAAAAATTTCAACACATAATAATACGCCATAAAAGGACATTAACTATTAGACTATAATTTAAAATCTTACCAATAAATGTGTAGCTCTATGAAAATTGCCAAAGAAAAAAGCATAATTTTAATTAAAAAATAGAAAATCAATGTTCAACCATTGCACCTTAACATTGTTTGAATTTTTTTCTATAATTTTTAAAAATACGTCATCTTGCCAGATACTTTTTACTAACTAAGAAACGTCTTAATGTCACAAAAAAGGTCCGAAGGAAAAAAAAAATTTTTTTTCCTGTTCTCTTGCATGAAAGAGAAAGTGGATGACAACTCAAAATGTACATACAGTTAATTAATAAAAAAAGATTTCTTACTTCTGGTATTATTAGTAATTTACAGAGACCTTATACATCAACGATAATGTAACTAATGTAATAAAATTGAAATTCCAGATGTCGCTGTACAGCACAATTCACACCGAAGATTACGAACAATGGACTGTGCGAGTGTAACTGTGCAGAATACGACGCTCCCTGCATAAGAATACAGCAAGGCAAAGGCTTTTTATCCGTCAACGACAGACTGTAAGAACTTCCTATAATTTTTATTTTTCATGCATATAGTTATTTTATCGTCAAGTTCAAGTTTAAGAAGAAAATAAACACCTTGCAATCAACAGAGTCTAAAAGTATATGGGAAAAAACATTTTACGTAAAATTTTGATCAATCCTGTTTTTTTACGTTTAAATCATCAAACTTATGCAACTGCGTAATGTGCAAATTGCAATCATATTCAAACTGATTATTTACAATTTTGATACACCTAATCTGACAAATTATTTGGTTATGCATCAATAAATAATAAATAGGATGTTCAACTTCCTGCCTATTTCATACGTCAACTCCTTTGGTGAAATATTGATTTTTTCAAGTATTTTAACTAAAATTTGAATAATTTTCTTTCAAACAAATTATTTATATCTTTATTCGATTTTAAAATTTAAATTATTTTTATCATTAATGAAATTTATACTTTTTGATTCCCTTGATACTCACCACTCATGTGATAAACATTGACTGATACAATCAATAATATATAGGCCTTATTATGTAATGCATCAATCTTTTATTAAGAAAATTTCGAACTTAAAGTATCCTTGAACAGTTCCGCACCAGTCTTGAATAACATTTTTAAATATTGCTTATAAAATTGTTCCAGGGATTAAATTATCTCAATCTAAAGTTAAAAATTTTTTAGATACATCTCAGGTTGTCGCGTTGAAGTAAAAATTATGTTCACACTTTATGAGTTGGACGATATATTTTTGTAGCGTATAAGTATATTAGTAATGACAAACCGCTTTGAGCCATGTAATCAATCTCATGAAAACAATATTAAAACCACTTCGCCACATTAACTGGTACGTTTTTAATCAGTTGGAATATTCAAAAAAGTTGTAAAAGACTTGTAAATCGTATTAATGTCTGTTTGTTGTCTAGCATGACATGCTTTTCAAGACAACATACTAAAACTTAAATCAGGCCACATGTTTATTTAAAATTTTGATAATCATGTTGAAACCAAGTTATGCAAAATTATCATTACAAATTAACCATTTGCTAGAATCCGTTTCAATCATATGAAAAAATTTAATGTTTCAGCTGTATACGGAGCGAAAAGTGTACGATGCCTAACTGCATCTTCGGCGAGTACATGATTAGCCAAGGCAAGTGTCCGAGGAAAAAAGACATATTTGAGGCGGTCACGAATCGACGCCCAGTTCTCAACCAGTATCATCACCGACGAAGTTAAACATATGGAAAACACAAAAATAAAAATGAAAGAGTAGCATGAAACTAAAAAATTATTTAATTAAATAAAACGCAAGTGTGATGAGCGAGTTCTGAAATCGCACGATGGGCTCGCCACTCACGTTTGTCAACGGACGGTGCCATTTATCTAAATACTATTTTTTAATATTCTTTCTGTATCTTGTTCTACGCGCACGTGCATATAATTTTTTCTAGCATGCTTATTGTCGAATAAGAAGTGAAGATGAAGAAAGTATGCGCTTCGAGAGTGATTGATGTACAGTACGTGGGTTCTGCATTGAACTACGTCAGTTTCAGTGACGGTAAATTCCATGTAAAGTCTACATGATTCATCTAATATTATTTATTACTTACGTGTTAGTTTTACCGTTATTATTACTAATAAACGTTGACTGCAATGGTTATTAAAATCGTGAAGGTCAACGTCAGTTGATCGAGTACGATTTTTTTTTAGTTTCGAGTATTTAAATATAATTGAAGTTTTCAATCAGACGTAGATACGACCTTGATATCTTTTGACTCGGGTAGTATTGTAAACATTACAGCAGAAATTTTGCATGACACAGTGTTTAAATGTTATTTTCCGATCTTGGGCGTTTTTGAGAGTCGGGTGTGCCCTCACTAGGAAAAATACAATTCGCCACTAAATGAAATCGCTCCGTGGCTACCTTACGTCACTCGGGCCCTGATTCGCAGGTCCCTTGGGCCGCAAAATAGCCCCAGAGACTACGGCACTTATCCGAAAATAACTACTATAAATTATGTAATATGTTGTTTAGTTCAAAATAATGAGCAGTATTCTGCAGTTTTTGTGAAAAATTTACCCGAGTACCACGCGAAAAACATTACCGAAGAAAATAGTAGTTTTTGTCGGATAAGTACCGTCGTCTCTGGGGCTACTTTGCGGCCTGAGGGACCTGCGAAGCAGAGCCCAAGGGACGTAAGGTAGCCCCGGAGCGATGGCGCTTGTGTGGCGAATTCTATTTTTCCTACCGAGAGCACACCAGCCTCTCAAAAATGCTCGAGGTAGGAAAATGTCATTAGGGTCTTCTTAGCTTTCTTTTTTTTTGTATTCTTGCATTTTTTGTACCAGTTTATAATCGAGTGAAGTGCGAAAGAAAATTAAAGTCTAATAAAATATTATGCATCCCGAATAATTATACTCCCTCTCTGATTTAATAATCAAATAAAGCACTACTATAACAATAATTGTATTTTGTTTCTTTTATTCATAAATTTTTCAGTAAACGTCATCTTTTAGGTCTTCTTTCTATTTTTTCATGATTTGGCTACTTGGAGTTCCTAGTGGCTTACCTTTTCATACATCACCTTTACTTATAGTAAAAGCTTAAACAATAATTAAAAAACACAGCCATAAGTGTAACGGTTTAGTATGTAATCGTAATTGTAAACTCTTATTTAAAGGCATTACACAGCAGGTAACATGAAAAGTTTTTTGATTTTGTTTGTATCCAGTGTTTAATAATTTTTAAAGGTATACAACAAAGTAAATACTAGTGATAAATCTAGTTATTTAAATGAAAGGTATAACACGAGTTAAAAGAAATTGAAAACTTTTTACCTATTTGGTTGTATAACTAAAATGCTTGTTATCTAGATGTATAAAATATTCTAGTAGTAGCATGTTGCAATTCATAAGAAAAATTTTATCAACCCCATGATTTAAATATTGCAGACGACTACTACGTTGATCCTGTTTTTAATTTAGTAACTGATAAGTTTATTGTAAAGATGTTGTAATATTAATCAACCATCTTCAAAGTAAATAAAATTCATGCCTAGGGTGTGGCTGTGTTCAGAATCTTTTAGTAATTTTCTCGTATTTTACAGATTTTTTAGAGCAAAGTTTTTCGTATATTGCAATAAAACATCACGAAAATTTAATTCACTGAAATTACCAACACGTTTTTTGTTATACTATCATTTAGTTCAAATCTATCAAAAAATTTTGACTATTTGAAAAACAGTTTAACAGAAACGTCAATCACAGTGCAAGTGTACGAGAAAAGTCTGTACATTAATATTATGATATGCTTCATTGTAACTGACCACGTGTAACTAAAGTAAGGTTTTGGTAAATGTACACTCACACTGCTACGATCTTATAAAATTGGTTAAGTATGAAAGATAAACATAATCATGATAATCTACCGAAATTACATCAAAAAATAAGTCTTGGTGACGATGAGGACCAGGTCTCCTTTTATTCCATGCATTTATTAAGAAAATATCAAATGAGAATGATAATTAGTGCAGTAATTTTCAGTCATTAAAATTCTGCACTATTTGATGCCAACAGAAAAATCAGATTCCTTTGCGCAATCGTTAATATTATTTCAAATACGTACTTCGAAAAATAGTTTTTTAATTTATAAATAGTTCTAACTAATTACTAAATTTTTTTACATCATAGTACGTCTATTTTTGTCTTGCTAAAAATATCCATCGTAATCTACTAATTTCTTACAAAGTTCAATACAATAGAATAATATTTAGAAATTTAAAATTATACAACACCCATGACAGCACGAAAACCCCATCCTAAAAAACAGCAAACAAAGTTTTACTAAGCTGCTCTAAAAGAAAAAAAAATTTATTGAAATTGAATGTAGGTGTTAACACAAACTCAACCAGTGCTTGCTACTGGTACGTCATGTTCTGTTGATGACATCTAAGTACAAAAAAAGTACAAATCAGATTCAATACTTGTATTGATGAACGCACCATCATCCCTTAACTATCGATTTCCGCATATCTCTATTTTTTGTGTAACTCACACATACTGTTTTAATGGTGAGAAATTTATCAGTCTTCTGTATCTTTGTTAAATAATAGACTAGAAGATCAGGAACAAATTTGCCGATAATTTTTTACATGACTATGGCAAATAAAAAGGTAAGGTACGAGGCTAAAAAATACGAAAACTATTTTCATAATTTTCTTCTATAATACCCTTATACACGTGGCTATTTGAAATAATGTAGTTAAAATAAATATTATAAATAATGTAGTTCACTCCACAAAAATCCTTAACCTTTTTTGAAAGTCATAAGTAAACTACATATACAAGATAAAATATAGCCATATAGTTTAATTGGATTGGCCTGAACAAATATGTAACTGCATCAACAATTTTTCAATCAAAAGTTTACATGACAAATTTAATTTGTAAAGTATACTTATTTTGTCATTTGTTTTAGAAAACTCCAATTTATTTGAAAAAAATTATCTTTAAGAGTAATATGTACCATAATATGATATTTTGACCCAATTGCTATTAAATTCCATGCTTACTTGAATACAATCGTTTATTGGTTTAATTAAACTTACAAAAAATTATTACTTTTCTATTTTCTTACAGTAACTTACACAATTATGAGAATATCATAACTATGTAGCTAGCGCGACAAAGGTAGACGTCTGAAGGCATTAATCTCGCTTAGGACCTTTGAACTTTCATAAAATTAGAAGGTATGATTTAAAAATGTTTAGTACATGTTCCTTGGTGTTGACATTATTGTTGTCTCATATTACAACGAGCATTTCAGAAATAATTCATTTGTTGTAGTAGACGTCTTTGTCATGTATTCTTACACTATTCCATTCAAACTTATGGTTCTATTCGACTTTGTGTGCATAAACGACAGAGTCAAAATTTTTGTTTTCTGTATTTATTTATGCATACATTTTTAGCCGCTCGCTTTGTCCCACCAACATATTATAAGTCACTGGACAATTTATTAAACTGTCAAATTAATTTAAATAATTTGTATTATTATTCGTAAAATCGCACATTTAATATTTACACACTGTTTGGCAGTTGTCACCTGTTCTGTTTACTTGGTAGTATTTACCTGCGATGCCCTATGTATTACTTATATTTATGTTTGTGTAGATGTATATTTTTCTTTAGATTTGTTTCCACCGATGGCAATCATAAGGTTGATTATTAAAACGAAATTTTTGCAAAACTTAGTAGCTGTGCGCTATTCGACTAAGGAAGGTACAGTGAACCAAAACAGCTGTTACTTAATCCACCAGAATAAATGAATACATATGAAAATCAATTAAAACTAACTTTGTTTTAATTATCATCTTTTTTACTATTATACATTTTAATATTATATGCTTGATAGTAATCGTATCATTGTATAAAGATAAATTGTTATTAAAAGCGAAAAAATACTAACTGTTTCACCACAATATTTATACATATAGAGAAACAAGAATGGAACAAGCAGTAGGGTTAGAAGTATGGTAGGTACGGGAAAAAGAGCTGCCAATAGTCCCCCTGTAATTGGCTCTTTTCAATATTACTTAAGTTGCCTGGTTGAAATAAGACAACAAAAGGTGGCCTCACAGAAACTTTATTTCTCGCCCGTAAAATAACCTTAGTAGGAAAGGTTGGACGGGGATGGAGCTGTGTATTCATACTTCTCTAAACATATGATTAACGATCTAAATGCAAGTGATGAGAACTGAGATGGATTATAATTGAGTAAATTGATAAAAACTACTACAGTACTAAAGAAAAATAAATTTAAACGTTGATAATGAGTAAATCATACTTAGTAATAGTAATGCAATACTCAAGAATTGAAAACAGTACAATTTAAAAAAAAAGGTTATACATTATCAGGTATGTGAAAAAAAAACCACACTGATCAGTCCAGGCTGTTGTCTGACATGCTTGAACAAATGTGGAACGCTTGATGTGCAAATTATAATGTTTCTTCTAAAACGCAACAAATGCTTATGTGACAATTCTCGTTTTGTGTTGAACTAAAAATTCATTCTATAACATTAATTCACCTCCCTGTAGAGAAACCCAAGGAGAAATCGAAGTCGATAAAACTACTTTTTATTTATTAAGATTACAGTTTGCCTAAAGTTTGGATGTCTCTCTTACATCGAATCTGTCTTGTCTTCTTTATCCATTATTATATGCAACAATTTTTTTTCTTTCGCAACTGGTTTCTCATTATTTCATACGTTCTATTTTCCGTAAATAGATCGCAATAGTCCTTTTGATAAGTTTTTAGCAGATTAAATTTAAGATTATTAGTCATATTTTTGCACTTGAAGAGGTTGAGTCGTTCACACATTTGAGTAAGTAGAAATTTTTAAATCGAATTAAGGGTAACGTATTTTTTCTACTTTTAACTTTTTTTTCGTGCCCATCAGGTATGAAACCACTATTTACCTTTTTCTAATGGGGATTTTGATTCGATTTTAATGAGTATTTAAAACTCGCTCTAGGAGTGTTTGTGCCTTAAGTACGAACGGCGTTTTTTTCCTGGGGCGCAAAAACGGTACTTTGAGATCGTGAGCAAACTTTCTGCTTGTGCACACAAAGTGATTAGAAGGTGCACAGTGTTGCCTTATCATGCAAAGACTTAACGCTTACATTGAGACAAATGAAAATGGATTATCAAAGGGAAGATCAATTAAGTGATACGTAGGATAAAATACCCGGTTTATGAGATTTCCCAATTGTTAAATAGTATCGTGTTGTATGGAACACATGTCAAAATTTTGATGTATGAATTTAAGCCACGTTTAAAAAAAATTATTTTTTTTTGTCCTGAGGCGAGATCACCCTTCATGATATGCAGATGGTAGTATCTATTTAAGAACAAACAAATTATTGTACGATTTTACTTATCTTGTACATCTTAATTTTTTGCACGAGTGTTCGGTCGGTTCAACCATACCCTCAAATAGTATTCCCCCAACACGAATATGACTGTTTACTTAAACTACCTACTGAATAAGAAATGCATTATCGACTTCACTATACTTGTCAATTCCACGTATTATATCGGCTAACTAAATAATTTATCCTGTTGAGGTATGAAAATTGTTTTTAAAAATACACCAACAGTACACCTAGAGTATTGACTATCCTAAATGCTATAATTTTTTTGTTTCAGAATATTTAAAATATTACGAGCACATAAGTTCTAACAAAAAAAAAATTTTTTTAATGTTCTATACAAATAAATGTCATACTTTCGTAAGGATATTATATTAGTCATATCACATTCAGTTCTTTGGCAAAGACCAAAGCGTTAGCTTTGCTTGTAATTCCTAAGGTATTTTTTCGAGTAAGGTATCTGACCAATTAAACTAGTAGAAAAGCTATAACATTAACGCTTGAGTAGG